AATCTCCCCACCTCAAGACTCTTAACTCTAAAGTCCCTTTTCCCATGTAAGGTGACACATGCATAAGCTCCAGGGATTAAGATGTAGATATTTGGGGGCCACTCCATTCTCTCCAGTGCTGTGGGATTGCAGATGAAGTTAGTGAAAGGCCTGCTTCCTGCTCAGACGTCAAGATAAATGAAATGTGTTCCTCTGCGCAGATACATGGATATCATGCTAATCCTTGGCAATAGCATTCAACTGCAGCCTCCCAGCCCCCCAGTGCAGCACTGGAGGGGTCAGGCCTGGGTTGTAGGAGTTACACCAGTCTCCTTTGGGGGAAGAAGTGGGGGACTTGAGTCACATTTCTGGTCTCAGGGCTCTATCTAGTTCCATTCACAAAATTCTACAAAGAACTGTGGATTGACACAAAGGAGATGAATAACAGGTGTACGCTTTCCAAACTTAAAACATCAGTTCTTTATATACTCTGTGCTATGTGACTTGAAACAGGCGGCATCTATTTTTTTCCTCAGAGAGACATGAATAACCTGATTCCTTCCCTGCAAAAACATGTTGCATAAAGTGTAAATAGAGATGTATGAGGATGATGTGCTGTATGGTAACAATATATGGTAAAAGCACAGTGAAGTTACATTTTAGAGTGTCTAGAAGAATAAATTGGACATTGATTAGCCAGGGGCAAGGGCATAGATACACAAAGGCAGGGTTGTGAAAGGTTGAAGACCACTCAGGAAATGGAAGTAAGTCCAGTGTGGGTCCAGCACAGGACATGATGGAGAGAAAGAATGATGGCACATCGGCAGCCCAGGTGGCTCAGCGGTTTAGCACCTTCAGCCCCGGGCTTGATCCTGGAGTTCTGGGATTGGGTCCCGCGTCGGGCTCCCTGCATGGAGCCTGCTTCTCCCTCTGCCTGTGTCTCTCTCTCTCTCTATCTGTCATGAATAAATAAATAATAAAATCTTTAAAAAAAAAAAAAAAGAATGATAGCACATGAAAAAGGATCTCCATTGGGACCAGATTCTCTCTTCCTTGAGGCCATGTTTAGAATCACTGGTACAGTCATATTTCTCTACACTTGGAAAAAATGCCATTTTTTAATATCTCAAACTTCTACCCAAACCTGAACAATTTCTAAAAGAACTCAGGCAAAACACGCATTCCATTTATGAGGAAGCAGTAGCACCAACAGGTGTGGCAGGCAACAATTGCTGACATCTGCTCCACTGGCCTGTTTGAATTTTCCACCATTGGAGTCACTTCTTGAAGTTCACACTATGTCCCATGGCCCTATGAAAGCCAACCTGCCAGACTGGTAACCTGTTAACTTTATTTTTAAACACATCATGAGTGCTGCAAAAAATACGTGCAGCAGGCCTGGGTGTGCCTCAAACAGACTACATATCTGTGAAGCATCCAGTTGGCTTGAATATTCTGGGTGGATAGGAAACATTTTTATACAAAACATTAATAGATATATCACAAGGAAGAATGGAAAACTCATTTTAACTTTTTAAAAAGATTTTATTTATTTATTTGAGAGAGAATGAGCGATAGAGAGAGCATGAGTGGGGGGAGCAGCAGAGGGGAGGGAGAAGCAGACTCCCTCCTGAGCAGGGAGCCCAACCAAGGCCTCAATCCCAGGACTCTGAGATCATGACCTGAGCCAAAGGTAGACACGTAACCAATTGAGCCACCCAGGTGCTCCTCATTTTAACTTTTTAATGGACCCTATTTTCTAAAGCAGTTTTAGGTTCACAGCAAAGTTGAGAAGTTGGCACAGAGATTGCCCATACACCCCTCCTCCCACATACCTAGCATCACCACCAAAGACTGCATTCTGGTTCAAGATGGCAACGTAGAAAGAACCTGAACTCACCTCCTCTCACAAACCACTGAGTCCACAGTTACAAATGAAACAATTTCTCTATAAGCCCCTAAAGGTTGGCTGAGTGACAGCTACACATCGGGCAAATGGGAAGACCAAATTGAAGTGGGTAGGACAGGCTGGGACAAAATCTCACTATAAATCCTACCTTCAGCGCCACATCCCACAACTGAAAGGGAACTCAAAGCCCAGGGCTTCTCCCTAAGGAACAAAGTGTCCATACCTCACATTAGGCACCCCAACTTTTAAGGCATATACCTCAGAGATGAATCTCCAGAACATCTAACTTTGAAAACCAAGGACTATGTCCCAAGACTATGTAGGAAACTGAGAAACAGCTCTTCAGGGGCTCATGCACCCAGACTCCCCCACCTCGGGGCCGCACAGAGGCAGCAGGTCACACCCAGACTTAAAGCAAAGGAGGCTCACATGTTTAATAACAGTAACAAACAGCAAGTGATGGTGAGGATATGAAGGAAAGGGAGCCTGTGCACTGCGGTTGGAAAGGTAAATTGGTACAGCCATTGTGGAAAACCATATGGAGATTTCTCAAAATATTAAAAATTGATCTACCATATGATCCAGTAACTCCACTTTTGTGTATTTATTGACTTTAAAAAGATTTTATGTATTCGTTTGACAGAGAGAGAGCACAAGCTAGGGGAGCAGCTGGCAGAGGCAGAGGGAGAAGCAGGCTCCCCACTGAGCAGGGAACCCAATGTAGGGTTCAATCCCAGGACCCTGGGATCATGACCTGAGCCAAAGGCAGACACTTAACCGACTGAGCCACCCAGGTGCTCCCACTTTTGTATATTTAACCGACTGAGCCACCCAGGTGCCCCCACTTTTGTGTATTTAACGAAGAAAATGAAAACATAATTCAAAAAATATATGCACTCCCATGTTCACTACAAAATTATTTATAATAGCCAAGATATGGAAATAACCTAAGTGTTCTTCAATGAATAAATAGGGGGGATTTGTGATATATATGTATATATTCCATATATACATATATACATATATGTGTATATATATATGGAATATAATAATAATGGAATATTATTTAGCCATAAAATAAGAATAAGGGGCACCTGGCTGGCTCAGTCTGTAATCAGAGTTGGAGTTCGAGCCCCATATTGGGTATAGAGATTACTTAAAAAAAAAAAAAAGAAAAAGAAAAAGAACTCTTTCCATTTGCGACAATATGGATAGACCTCAAGGGCATTATGCTAACTGAAGTAAATGTGACAGAGAAAAACAAATACTATAGGATCTCTCTTATATGTGGAATCTAGAAAAAATATGCATTTTTAAAACTAGGCTCATAGATACAGAGAACAGATGGTGGCTGTCACAAGTGAGGGGAAGGTATTAGGAGAAATGGGTGAATTATTTTGGTTACATAAAGTGAATTTTTAAAAATATCCCCCCACAAAAACAATAAAATAAAAGTTATTATAAAAATTATATCTTAAAAAAGGTAAAGGGCAAGCATGATGGAAGAGGTATGTAAGATACAAAGAAGACCCAATTAAACTTCTGGAAATGAAAAAAAAAGAAAACAATTCAAATACAAACAACACTCTGAACAGGAGAAACAGCAGACTGGACACTGTTGAAGAAAAGATTAGTAAACTCGGAGATGTAACAATAGAAATTATTCAAAATGAAGGGGTCTCAGAAAGCAAAAGCATCCTGTAAATGAAATAGTCACTATTTTATTTGACTTTCGGCTAAGGAAAGTGTTCATTTAGATATGCAGTTAAGTCAGAGGCAACTTAGAGTTACAGAGTGGACCCCCTCATTTTACAGATAGGAAAGCAAAATTCAGAATTAAGATCAAAACCAGAGTCTTGCACCCCATAGTAGGTCACAGAGTATCAGGCACATATGAGTCAATGTTTTCCACTTACAAAGTCTTCTTTAACCTAGTTAACAAAATTCTCACAAATATTTCAAATTGCGTTTACTCTCTTTAAGGGCCTCAGTTGTCTGATAATAACAAAAAGAGAAAGAAATTCTAATTCACTAAATCTTACAAATCTAGTAAAATTAAGCTTATGAATTGATTCTTAAATTCTCCTAAACTTTTTTAAATTAGGTAAAATCATCTAACCTTTAAACCTAAAATCCCAAGTCTATATACTAAAATACTCAATAACACATTAACTTCTCATTGCAAGCCTCATCTATTGGATATTCCAGTATGTCAAAGTTGCTTCTACATAAAAAGTACTTACGAAATGTGCCAACATTACTCTTAAAATTAGTAATACTGTGGTTTGATTTAATGTGCTACATTTCTACAATAAATGTAAGATTTCAAGAAACAAACAAAGTTATCTGCGAAGGGAATAGTTATGGTATCCCACGCCTGTGGGGGCTACTCCCCCAAGCAAATTGGGGTTACCTCCTCAGCTGACGGCTAATTCTCTTCAGCCAGCGATTGGGGGCAGGGAGTCCCCTAGAGCTGTAGATGCACATGGGGACTTTTATTTAATCCAGACCTGCCACACTGAAACTTCTGATGGTCATTGTGCTGAAAGGGAACCCTAATATGAGTTTATTTCTGCCCCACCTGCTCTGTGACTTGTGTCAGCTCTAGAGCTATTGATAAATTCACCAACCCACCCGCAGCCTGCTTCACTGCTGGGTTGTAGAGGGCCAGCCTAAGTGCTGATTCCATTCTGGCCCCTCTTGTTGCTTCAAACTTGACAAGGGGCTGTGAACTCAGTGGTCTTCTGGCCTGGTCCCCTCCTGTCACTCAGGCCTCAGACAGGCAGGCTATCTCTAACAAGCCCATCGATACCCATCTGGTCTGGCACATCTTCCAATGTGCTTTTCTCTGAAATATATTTGTGTCTTTACCATCCTGATACCCTGAAAGGAAGCTATTGAGAATGCTTCTGGCTCCCCTGTTTTGACTTCTCTCACTTAAATTAACATTAAGCATAGTAGTGAATGCCCACTACTCTCCTCTCCTAACTTCTCACTCTCTTCTCCTAACCTACACCTCTCCTAACTTCCTCAGAGAATATTTTTCTTGGCAGGAATGACTGTTTTGAGAATTGACCTTTCTTTTAAGCACCTGTCTGTTAAACCTACGTAGAAAGATGCCCCTGGAAGAAATGAAAGATCTCCAGCTGGTGGGAAGATACATAGAACCAGAAACCACAGAAGTGAATGGAGTCCTTATGACCAAGATAATAAGTGATAATTGGGACAATATCTGGAATTTCCAAGCAAAATCTGATGATCTCCTCATTGCATCCTACGCAAAGTCAGGTAGGTTTGGGAAACTCACAGTGGGGAAGCCAAGCTGTAGAGGAGTGGTGATGCCTGGAGAGGCCTCCTTATTTTAAAACTGCAAAAAATAGGATCCCTGGGTGGCGCAGCAGTTTGGCGCCTGCCTTTGGCCCAGGGCGCGATCCTGGAGACCCGGGATCGAATCCCATATCGGGCTCCCGGTGCATGGAGCCTGCTTCTCACTCTGCCTGTGTCTCTGCCTCTCTCTCTCTCTGTGACTATCATAAAATAAAAAAATTAAAAAAAAAAACTGCAAAAAATAAAATAAATAAATAAATAAAATAAATAAAATAAAATAAAATAAAATAAAATAAAATAAAATAAACTGCAAATTTTCACCAGGGCTGGCCCTGGGAAAACTGAAACCAGACTTGCTTCTGAGCTCCAATTCCCCAGGATGCAAGGTTCTCCTGTTTGTGTAGGTCCCTGATAAAGAAAGAGATTGCCAGATCCTGAATTACAAAGTTATTTAAAAAGCAGAGTCTGAGAAAGTACACAAAAGTTCTCACAGTAATCTTGCCGAGTCATTCCTGGTTCCCATCCAGCAATCTGGGAAGTGACCTCACTCTTTGCCCATAAGAAGCATCTCTTAGTGGGGGACACTAACATGGAAATGAGGGCTTTCACCCCAATATAAAACATTCTTGAAGCTTTAACAAGTTTGGAAAAGTTTCTCAGTGGCCATTAAACTCCGCAAGAGGAACTCTCGGTATTCATTACCAGAAAGATTTCAGAAGAGGATCCATTTACCATAGTTCTTTAGACCTTCCTTGGAACATTTCTGTCCCCGGTGGCTGGGAAGTGCCTCCTTAGCCTCACTCTGTTCTCATGACTTAGCATTACTTAAACTAAGGCAGGGGCTTCCTGTCAGCAGGGCTCAATTTCTCAAGAATCTCCTTTTCTGTCTCCTTTGCCCTGGACACTTCTCCTGCCCAGAACTGAACTTGGATTTGCATTGCACCTTGGAACAGGAATTTTTTTTCAGCTCACCTTTGAAATTATGCAGTCAATCTCAAAGCCCCTCAGGACATCCCCCAAGTCTCCAGCCTTATCCCTACCTCCCCCACCACCTCTTACCCCCTGGGAACCTATATACACTTCCAATGTGGAAATGTGACTGTCTTTATTCTGGTTCCTGAGGTTCCCCACCTGGGAGCCTGAGATGCCCTGGCTTCTTAATGCAGATGGGTATTCCAGTCCTGCTTCAACTCTTCACTCCAAAGCTACCATCTCAACGGAGCCTTACTGACGCCTTCGGCAGCAAGTTGACTGTCCTCCTCTGAACTCAGGCAGTCCTTTGAATATTCTTTTTGCCCCTTATTCTATAGTGTTCATCTTCTAGTGATCTGTGTATATGTCATATGTATCAGTGAGCAGCAGGTCTGGCTAAGAGAGAGAGAGACACCAAATACTTTTGATGGGAAAAGGAAAATGGATATCGGTGGACAGTGAGCACAGTCTAGCTCTTTGCCGGCCTATTTACACTCCTCTTCTGTGTCAGTTAAGAGTCAACTTGGCTACAAGTGTCAGAAAACCCAAAAGAAAAAGCAGCCTGGAGATTAGTAGTCAGGATTAAAATGTTGGCTGCATTGATTATCGAAGACCTTTCTGACTTCCTCCACACATTCCAAAAAGCAGCAAGAAGGTAGGAAAGGAGGAATAAGGTCATGTTCCTCGTCTTGAAAGACAGCTTCCCAAAATGACATGGCCATGTCATGCAAGAAAGACTGGAGAATATTACCTTTGAGGCAAGTAGCCATATGCCCAGATAAAAATCAAGGATCTATTAATTTGAGAAAGGAAGAATGAATATAAGCTAGGCAAAAGGTAGTCTCTGTCCCAACTTATTTAATCCAAAAAGATTGTAAACTTGTTAGGACAAGGACAGTGGTTAATTCATCTTTGCATCTTCCTACATGCATTTGATTCAATATTCATTCGTTCAAACTATGTTTACTAGGTGCAAAGCCCTGTGTGAGGCACTGGGGATTAAAGAGGAAGTGATAAGTGAGCTGATTCTGCTTAACATTCAGCATATGTGAATTTTACTGCATACATAAATAATCGAGGAAATGAATTAACTTGTGCAGTGAGTGGATGAAATTAACAATAACCAATACTCTAGGCACAACCTGGACACAAGAAATTGTGGACATGATCCAAAACGATGGAGATGTGCAGATGTGCCAGAGGGCCAATACCTTCGACCGGCATCCTTTCATTGAGTGGGCTTTACCCCCACCCTTCAACTCAGGTAAGTTTGCCCAAATAAAACTCATGAAGCTATAACTAAGACCCGTGACCACTGTGCTAGGTCAGTTTGCATCTGAAAAGAGAATTATTTCTACAGCCTTCTGGAAAAAATCTCCAAGGGACACCGGGAAAACAGTAAAGGTCAACATACTCCCTTCAACGGAGAAATTAGACTTCCAAATCTCTTTTCTAAAATATATGATTGGGTAGCATTACACAGCACATTCTCTACTGGTGACTGGGAATTCAAGACTGATGATGAATGTATAACAGAGAGGGCAGGGTGATGATTCCTAGCATCCTCTTTCATCACGCTCCCTTCTTTTAGAGGATTGTCTTCGAATATATTTATCTATAAGCTGTCTACCACCGAATCAAACTAAATTATATATATCATTATCATCAACAATTATACTTCACTTCAAAGATACTAAGAAATATAAGACACAGACAACACCCTTAAAAAGCTTGAAATCAATTAGAAATAAAGGAGATGGGTACACCTGGGTGGCTCAGTGGTGATCCTGGGGTTTTGGAATCGAGTCCCACATTGGGCTTCCCACAGGGAGACTGCTCCTCCTTCTACCTATGTCTCTGCCTCTCTCTCTGTGTCTCTCATGAATAAATAAATAAAATCTTTTTTAAAAAAGGAAATAAATGATGTGTTTTTATAAAGTAAATAGTGGCAAATAGTAGCTTTTGTAATAGGAGGTCACCCAGTGCTGAAAAGCCATAGACTTTGGAATCAAACAATTCAGCTTCAAATATTTTATCTAGGGGACACTGAGCAAATTATTAACTCTCAAAACCTAATATTTTAAAAAAACCCTAATATTTCTTCATTTGTAAAGGAATATCTATTAAAAACCCCTAATAGATTGAGCCAACTATTCTAGCACATTTAGTTCAAAAAAATTATCTTTTTTCCCATTGAATAACGTTGGCCCCTTTTACAAAATCAATTAACTATGTGTATATGGGTATATTCTGGATTTTCTATTCTGTTCCTTTCCATCATGTGTCTATCTTTATACCAACACCACCCCTTAGGATTACTTTAGCTTTATAAGTTTTGGAATTAGGTAATATAAAATCTCCAATTTTTTTCTTCTTTTTAGAAGTTGCTTTATTTATTTCAGGATCTTTGTTAATTCTAGAATTGGCCATAAGTTTCTACAAAAAAAAAAATCTGATATTTGGGTGGGATTGCATTGAATCTATTGATCTATTTGGGGAGGACTATAACTCTTACAAAGTCAGGTTTTCTGATCTGTGAATGTGGTTTATCTCTTCAATTACTTAGGCCTTGTTTAATTTCCCTCACCAGTGTTTTGTACCTTCCACCACTTAAGTCTGGCACATCTCCAATCGAATTTAGCCATAAATATTTTTGTTTTATGCTATTATAAATTGTATTTTTAGTTTAATTTTTAATTATTTGTGGCTCATATACTGAAATATGATTGATATTTGTATTTGACCTTGTACCCTGCAAATGTACTTGTCCTAGCTTATTGGTTCTAGTAACTCTTGTACATTCTGTTGGGTTTTCTACATGAACCATCATGTGTTCTGTAAATAAAGAAATTTTTACTTTTTCCTTTCTAGTTTGGATATCTATTATTTCTTTTCCTTATTTTCTTGCACTCCCTGGAACCTCCAGTGCAATGTTGAACAGAAATCATAAGAAAAAAAAAAAAGAAATCATGAGAGCAGACATCCTTGTCTTGCTCCTGATCCTAAGGTAAAAAAGCACTCAGGTCTTACCATCAAGTATGATGCTAGCCGCACCTTTTTTGTAATGTTATTACAAAATGGCTAGAGTTATTCTTTTCTATGGCTGAGTAATATTCCATTGTGTATATATACACCACAACTTCTTTATCCATTCATCTATTGATAGATACTTGCTCTGCTTCCATAATTTGGCTTTGTAAATAATGCTTCAATAAATGTAGAAGGGCATTTTGATAGGGCTTGCATTAAATCTGTAGATTGCTTTAAGTAGTATGGATATTTTTTTTAATTTTTTTATTTATTTATGATAGTCACAGAGAGAGAGAGAGAGAGAGAGAGAGAGAGAGAGAGAGAGAGAGAGGCAGAGACACAGGCAGAGGGAGAAGCAGGCTCCATGCACCAGGAGCCCGACGTGGGATTCGATCCCGGGGCTCCAGGATCGCGCCCTGGGCCAAAGGCAGGCGCCAAACCGCAGCGCCACCCAGGGATCCCTAGTATGGATATTTTAACATTTTTTCTTCCAATCTATAAACATGGAATATCTTTCTATTTTTTTTGTGTTGTCTTCAATTTCTTTCATCAATGTTTTACAGTTTTCAGGGCACAGATCTTTTAGCTCCCTGGTTAAGTTTATTCCTAGGTATTTTATTATTTTGAGCAATTGTGAATCAAATTGCTTTCTTTATTTCTCTTTCTGTTGTTTCATTATTCTTGTATAGAAATGCAACAGATTTCGTACATTGACTTTGTATCCTGTGACCCTACCAAATTTATCAATTCTAGTAGTTTCTTGATGGAATCCTTAGGTTTTCTATATCGTATCATTCACCTGCAAATGGTGAAAGTGTCACTTCTTCCTTACCAATTTGGATGCCTTTGTGTGCCACTTTTCTGGTTTGCTTTTATTTTGAGTTTTTGTTTTTGTTTTAAAGATTTTAAAGATTTTATTTATTTATTCATGACAGACACAGAGAGAGGCAAAGACACAGGCAGAGGGAGAAGCAGGCTCCCTGCAGGGAGTCCAATGCGGGACTCGATCCCACAACTCCGGGATCACCACCTGAGCCAAAGGCAGAAGCTGAAACCACTGAGCCACCCAGGCGTCCCATTGACTTTTTGTTTTTGTTTAAGAAACTTTTAATTTTCTTCCTAGTGATTGGTTGCCTGTGTATTATTATCCCCTTTTATAAGTACTTAATCCTCTTTTCTCTTACTTAAAGTTTTATTACCTGATCTGCCAGTTTCAAAGGAATTTTTTAATTCTTTTGATTACTTACACAACCACAAATAATCTCACTCTAAATTTTAAGTTGCATTTTTTTCTACTTTGTTGGAAACTTTAAGATTTACATGTTGTTCTTCCACCCATCCCCTTACCCTTTTAAATTTTAGTTCTAGTATTAAATATTGTGAAATGCTCATCATCAAGCCTTGTAATAATGCTTTCCTAGTCATCTCTCAGGGGAATTAAACTCACCCTACTAAATTGTGTGTGTGTGTATATATATATATGCATATGTATTATATTCTGTGAGTTCTTGCATTTTTTTAAAGATTTTATGTATTTATTCATGAGAGACATACAGAGAGAAGCAGAAACATAGGCAGAGGGTAGAAGCAGGCTCCCTACAGGCTCCCCTACAGGGAGCCTGATGGACTCAATCCCAGGACCCCAGGATCATGACCTGAGCCAAAGGCAGACATTCAACCTCTGAGCCACCCAGGTGTCCCCAGTTCTTGCATGTTTTAAACTTTTTTTCTATAATCTTGATACTTGAAGCACAACTTGCTTGGGCATAATATCTTTCATTCACACTTCTTTAAGTTTCTTAAAAATGTTGCTGTGCTGTTTCCTTGCTTTGTATGCTATTTTGGAGAAGCCAGTTTAATTCCCTTGACTTTATGAATCATTTCATCTGGAGACACTAAAGATTCTTTTTCTTAAAACACAATAATTTAACTTTGGGGGATCCCTGGGTGGCACAGCGGTTTGGCGCCTGCCTTTGGCCCAGGGCGCGATCCTGGAGACCCGGGATCGAATCCCACGTCGGGCTCCTGGTGCATGGAGCCTGCTTCTCCCTCTGCCTGTGTCTCTGCCTCTCTCTCTCTCTCTCTCTGTGTGTGTGTGTGTGACTATCATAAATAAATTTAAAAAAATTAAAAAAAAATAATTTAACTTTGGTGTATCTCAGAGTTGATCAACAGAAATCAACTTTTTTTTATATATATATGCATGGTTAAGAAGATGTTGTGAGGGGGCACCTGGGTGCTCAGTCATTTCAGCATCTGCCTTCAGCTCAAGTCATGATCCAGGGGTCCTGGGATCCAGCCCCACATTAGGCTCCCTGCTCAGCAGGGAATCTGCTTCTTCCTCTCTCCCTCTATCCCACCCCCTTGTGCATGCACTCCCTCTCTCCTAAAGGAGAGGGAGAAGCATGCATGATTATGACACAGCTTTGTGAGAACCCCATCCACGATGCATGTAGATTCTAGGCACATTGACAGGCTCATTGTAGGAACATTTTGTGGATTGCAGCTTATAATCCAGTGATAGGTCCATTAAAACTATGGTAGGGTGGTGAGAGTATAAACCTGCCAGCCAGATGGGTGTAATTTGGTTACATCAGTAGGGCCACTCAGCCTGGGATATAATTTGAGGTATGGTGTAAGGATGAAATGACTCCTTTAAGCACTGCTCCCACTGGCACCATTTAATATAGAGGAAGATGAGCTCTGGGTCAGAATCCACATCTGGTAGCATGCTAAAAGAAGCTATTCTAATAGGGCCTGCCACCCTTGGTGCCCAGCCATCCTTCAGAACAATTGTGTGCCTGACTGACTTTTTTCCAGCACAGATATGGTTTGGCTGGAGTGATCTACCAACAACCCTATTACCCATGCTAGCCACAACGGTGGCACTGCCGTATGTGAAGAACACTGACTCTCTTTCCATGTCAGACACGCAGTCCAGGGAGCTTTTCAAGCTGCTAGAGAGCTTTTCAAGCAGTGGGGATGCCACCAGCTGCACCTCCATTATCAGTGGGCAAGAGGTTGAGTGTGAGGGAGACACGTCTTCCTATTATCTGGAAAGCCCTATAATATCAGATTGAGCCCTTTTTCGAGGGTATCATTTTTATTTTAACAGTGAGGTCTTAGGATCCATGCTGAACCTCTGCTGGATTAAATCCCTGACCCAGTGCAGGATGGGGACTTGTTGCAAAACAGTGTGGGCTGTGAATGCCTCTGTCTCTAAAAGGGCTCAGGAAGCTGCCAAAATTTCGTGCTCAAGTTGCATGTGCTAGGCTGCCATGGGAGGCAGATCTTTGATCCAGATCCCCTGGGCAACCAGATAAAGCTGTGCTCAGTCCAGAGACTCCACGAGGCCTAATCCGATGTCTCCATTGATTCAACTTAGAAGTCTGAACCCAGAGAGACTAAGGACAGAGCCTTATGCTTGCTAGGCCAGCTACAAGGCAGTTTGGTGAGATTCTCCCAAATGGAAAGAAGCTAGTTTGCATCTAACAGCACAAATAGGCTTTAGTAAAGTGGTGAGTGTAGAATGTGTTGCCCCCAAAAGGTGAAGGAAGACACCTAATATGTGCTGTGCCTGCCAAAATATAATAGGAGGCTTAATTATGAGAGGTTGATGTTTCATAGTGAGAGGGATTTCACAGTTCTCAGCTGCCTCCTGATGCTAAGAAACTTGAAGGAAATGGCTGTTTCTTGGACCTTATGCAGGGTAATGGCCCATCCTCTTTGCTATAAATGTGTTACTACATGTAAGTCTTCTGGATGGCATCCTTAAAGGGCTCTGGAAGGAGAATGTCACTTATATAATACCAAAGGTGGCAGCAAGTTAGTTTGAGTGAATTTAAATCTTGTCTGCATAGGCTATATGTAATGGCAGGGGTACCTAAATAACCCAAGGGCAGCCAAATAAAGGTTCAAAGTGCCCTTGAAACTGAAAGCAAATTGAAGTTGGGAGTCTCCCATTGTCGGGACTGATAGAAACACATTGGCTAGATCTAGGACAGCAAAGTAAGGACCCCAAACTTTTGGGGTAGCACCTACTATCTCTATAATAATGGGAATGGGAACCTTAATGGCAGAAACCTATGCATTTAAGTTTCAGTGGTCAATTGTTAGTCTCCATTCATTGGTGACCAGTTTTCACACTAGCCAGATTGAGCTATCAAAGTGTGATGTGGTGGGCCTACAGACCCTGGCATCAAGTGTATCTCTAATGACAGACCAAAGGCCCTGTGTATCTTGCTTGAGACAATACTGTGGTGTATTTAGTGTTTTTTCTGGAAGGGGGCAATTGGGCAGGTTCCCATTTGGCAGGTCCTATGAGAACTCTAGAATTTGTGATTGTTCCATCAGTCATGTCATAAGGCAAGAGCACCCATGCCTGTAATAGGAAAAAAGAGACCCATGGAGGCCACCACCACTGGCAACTGTTTTGGAAATATGGTGCCAATAGGCATATCCAACTTGATTTTTACCCTCTTTGTGGTTTAACCTGCTCGGACTCATAGGCTGTATGAGGTTCCTTCAGGGAATTTAGAAGTACTACCTGGAATTACTATGACTTGAGCTCTGATATTTAACAGATCCAAGAATGTCTGATTACTGCCTTAATCCCTGTGGACTGGCAGAGTCATGAATAGGTGATTGTCCCCAGGAGATGACAAGCTCCAGCAGCTGTTCCATTCTAGGATAATGCTCTGCAGATTTGTCAGGGCCACAGGTCAGTAATATTGTCTGGCATAGAAAGAACTTTGGGACCCTCTGTCAGCACCTGGATTATTGAGATTGAGCTCTGTTGCAAGATAATCACATGGTTTTGAGAGGAGCTTGTGCCAGAACTGTCCAGATATGAGATCACTGGGGACCCGCAGCTAGCAGAGCTGCCAAAATAAAGCCTAGTACTATTTAGGGCCATCCTGGGTGTTGATGCCTATTGGGACTGGCATGGGGATTACAGGACCAGGTGGTGGGAAACATGCTGGCCCTAAGGTTTTGGGCATGACTTATGGACTGTAAAATTTCAGAATTTGGAACCACCTCCCTTATGAAGAGCTGTCAAGTCTATCCCCAGCATGGCCTTTTGAACATCATGGGAAGTCCCTGTAAAATGAAGTTTGGCCCTGTCATTCAGTAGGAGAAGGGGATGCTCCTCAGAAGAAGAATTCTCTAGATTCAGGGTCAATTGAGGCTCCCTCAGAACTGGAGATGAAAACAGATTATCTGAATAGGTTGCTATATCCAATGGAGTGATAGACCCACTGAACCATATCAATCATATGGGGATGGAGTTGGACTTCACTTAAGGCCTTCCACGGGCTTTGAGCCTTTGTAGTAATAACTATGTTAGAAGGGCAGGCTCTGTCCTAAGCCATTAAAATCCAAGTAAGCACTGAAAGAAATTGAGGAAGACACAAAGAGATGGAAAAATATTCCATGCTCGTGGGTTGGAAGAATTAATATTGTGAAAATGTCAATGTTACCCAGGGCAATTTACACGTTTAATGCAATCCCTATCAAAATACTATGGACTTTCTTCAGAGAGTTGGAACAAATTATCTTAATATTTGTGTGGAATCAGAAAAGACCCCGAATAGCCAGGGGAAAATTAAAAAAAGAAAACCATAGCTGGGGGCATCACAATGCCAGATTTCAGGTTGTACTACAAAGCTGTGGTCATCAAGACAGTGTGGTACTGGCACAAAAACAGACACATAGATCAATGGAACAGAAGAGAGAACCCAGAAGTGGACCCTGAACTTTATGGTCAACAAATATTCGATAAAGGAGGAAAGACTATCCATTGGAAGAAAGACAGTCTCTTCAATAAATGGTGCTGGGAAAATTGGACATCCACATGCAGAAGAATGAAACTAGACCACTCTCTTGCACCATACACAAAGATAAAGTCAAAATGGATGAAAGATCTAAATGTGAGACAAGATTCCATCAAAATCCTAGAGGACAACACATGCAACACCCTTTTTGAACTTGGCCACAGCAACTTCTTGCAACATCCATCTATGAAGGCAAGGGAAACAAAAGCAAAAATGAACTATTGGGACTTCATCAAGATAAGAAGCTTTTGCACAGCAAAAGATACAGTCAACAAAACTAAAAGACAACCTACAGAATGGGAGAAGATATTTGCAAATGGCCTATCAGATAAAGGGCTAATATCCAAGATCTATTAGATCTTATTAGGGTCCACAGAAGGAAAACTTTGGGGTTTCTGGGCTAAATCCAGATTGGTCAATTCAAACCAAAAGGAGCAGGGTTTAGGTAAACTCTGCAGGGGTCTTATCTAAGGGAGTGCCCAAGGGAAAGGTCCTGGGAGGCAAGGAGACTGTTGATCCCAGGGCTATTGGGGAGTTTCTGCAGGCTGTTGTGCCCCTGGGCATGAGCTGGCAGGAGGGGCAGGGTAAGCTCAAAGCCCCTGCAGGTCACTTAGCCACACAGAATGGATGACAGGGTAACAATATTATGGAGTAGTTTAGCCAAAATCTCGACAGAGGCAAATTCAAGTCTTCTTTTCCAGAAAGCTTTTTCAGGTTACAGGTTTAAATATTAGTTCTATTTCACTGTTTTCATTTTCTTCTCAGGAACTGCAGTTTATGTCCAAGTTAGAGCTGCTGTGCCTGTCTTCCAACTCAAACACCTTCTCTCTGACCCTTTTTACTTATTTATTTCCTCACTGCCTGTCTCCTGGTTGTCTCTTTCTTTTTTTCCAACACCTTATATTAAATTTTCTTTCAAACCTATCCTTCATTGTCAACCTTATGATTTAATCCTCACTTCTTATGTTATTGTGTCTTTTTTCTTATATTTTTCTCCTGATTTCCATTGAATCTCTTTTCAATTGTCCCCTTTTTCTCTTTTTTGGGGGAGGGGGTGAGACATCTATTTTGGTTCCTAATTTTCATATTTCTGAGTTATTTGTTCATATTTCCAAATGTTTGTTTGTGATATTTAATTAAGTTTGGAGTGTCACGTTACAATTTTGTTTAGGTTTGTAACTGGGTTTGAGGGTAGCATTTTCATCAGGTTAAAGGCCTTGATTTGCCTTTCCTGGTTTTTATAGTAGTTTCGTATTCATGAGATCTACTTTTTTCTGTTTTTATTAATTTAATTGCCCTAGTTCCTAGTTTGAAAGCACGCTCTTTTCTCTGAGCTGTCCTATGCTGTGCAGTTTTGCTTACAGGTGGTGTAGTGGTGGACAGGGAGGAGGAATTAGCATGCCGTTTCTTTCACTTCTGCAGGATTTTTAATTTTCTTCCTTATACTTCCTTCTTTCCCATCACTGCCGGGTCTCTAGGGGTGCTTCCCCTTCTCTATATATCTGATTCTCCACCAGAAGTTGTGCTTCTCCAACCAAGGCTGCCACTCTGCCTCCCTTGTGAGCCCTTCCCCAAATCTGGTGCTGTGTGTGGCCAAATCCCAGCCTGCATTTGGTATTTTAACATTCAGCATTGGGCATTCTGTTTCCAAGGAAGATTTTATCTGTTATCTAATTATCCCTTGCCTCTCTGCTGCTTTCCACAAAGTCTGTTAAGCCTCCCCCTCTATGGCTTCCCACACCCACAGACTAACTGATTTCCAGTCCTGGCTATCACATTTACTAACTTGAAGAAATTATTTGACCACTGTAAGGCTCAATTTTTCATCTGAAAATATATGCCAGCACAGAGCACAGTGCTGGTGTTTGCCTGGTGGCTATTGCTATTGGTCTGTAAAGGTTAAAAGAAAGACTGAAGCTATTCACATGGAACTGTTAACCTTGTAGAACTGGCCAATAGCCCTCCTCCCTTAAGAGGGATGTCAGCTTTTTTCCAGCTGCCTTTATCTACTTCCCATTGAAGTAACAGAAAAGCCCCAAAGGACAAATATCCAAGTAATTATTGGGGTCAGCAGCCTCAGACCTCCCAACACATCTTTATCCTCCCACACAAGTACAACCAATAACCAGCAAATAAGGAAAGTACCGTTGCCTGCATGGTTTCTAGTACCTCATTAGTGCTTTCCTCTACCTGAATGGACAGTAAAGGTGTCATTAGGAGGGGAACATTTAAACATATAAGCCATAATTTTAGGCAGAGGCAACGATTTGCTAAATCTCATTACAGATATTTAACAAAATAATAATATTGAATTCATGGAGTTGCTGAAAAGTGTTTAGCTAAATGGTGTGGCCTTCTTTCCCAGGGCTGGATTTGGCCAAGAAAATGCCTTCTCCTAGAACTATGAAGACTCACCTGCCTGTTCAGTTGCTGCCACCTTCCTTCTGGAAAGAAAATACAAAGGTATGAAAAGTCAACTTTTCAAACCCAGTTTTGGTCAATATGGACAGACAATGTCTCCATAGAGGTGGAAACAATCAAAGATATTGAAAAATCAATAACCAATGGAGGTATAGGGCAGAGGGTGACATTACTCCCATATTCCCACATACTGCATGCTGGATTCAGTCTTCCTTCCAAATATTATTTCTGGGTACATGCTAGAAGGTTTTCAGGCAAAATCATTCTAGTTGGTTGCTGATTAAGCCACAGCCAAAAGAGACCAAGTGGTGAAACAAAGACATATTTCCTGAAGAAGGCGATCATAATACTTCAAATCATCTAAGAAGGAAAAAGCCAAGGCCAAGGAAGAGAATTTATTTAGGTAAAACCTGTGGAGGGAAAGGTAGAGCAAGACAAAGGTGGATGGACAACCATAAGACCATGATATTACATTGGCAACCCTTAGAGCATATCTCATGGAGCAAACTCCCAGGAACTTTTACACCTCTATGCTCTCCATTTTCAAAAATTTCCATTTATTTTGACACTTCCAAATTTGGGTTCAATGTGGAATGTATATCGAATATACCAGTGTTTCTTTTTGATAACTGCTTCACTGGTGAGTCTTAAAATCAATGAACTATAGAATATAAATCAAATATTGATTTATACACTTGCCACAAAAAGTGTAGCCATCTAGCAAAATCAAATCAAATGCATCTAGCTTGTATCAGCTAGACATGTCTTATCTCTGGGAGCAAGGTACTTTAGAAACCCAGACTGAATGGATGCTAAGGAGGGCATTTGATGGGATGAGCACTGGGTATTATACTATATGTTGGCAAATTCAATGTAAATAAAATATTTTTAAAAAAAAGAAAGAAGAAAGAAGAAAGAAAGAAAGAAAGAAAGAAAGAAAGAAAGAAAGAAAGAGAAAGAAAGAAAGAAAGAAAGAAGAAAGAAAGAAAACCCAGACTGAACCCTTACCACTGAAACCGTTAAGAGTCATCTGTTAGCCAAGATACTCTCTCCTCTGTGCAGTGCTCAGATACACAGTGCAAGTGATGGTTTTTGACTCGCTTTTTCTGGACTTCTCTGAGTCACCAGCTCTCCATCTTGCCCATCTCCAAGCAAGGTACAATACAATTGAATAGGATTCCACATATCAAAGCACTATCCCATTACTTTTTTTAAAAAGATTTTATTTATTTATTCATGAGAGACAGAGAGAGAGGCAGAGACATAGGCAGAGAGAGAAGTAGGACTCAATTCCAGGACCCCGGGATCACCACTGTGCCACCCAGGGGCCCCACTATCCCATTCCTAGATCTGCTTCCCTGAGATTATACCCAGGTCACCTTGACTTGTGAAAACTTCCTGCTTTAGTCACACAGACAGATAACTTCACTCATATGTGACTGTTGCTGTTCAAGAAGCAATACTATTACCAAATGATATTGTGGACTCAATGTCAGAAGACACAATAACATCTTTTTAGTCCTCATACTAGCATCTTCTTTTTGTAAAACCAGGCCTCTTAAAAATGTAAAAATCTCAATGACAGCACCTCTTTTTATCTACACAGAATTGTGGATTGAATAGGAAGTAACATTAGAGAGTTTAGCCCAAGATTTTCATTTTATGATGCAGTGGTAAGCTAAATAACCATCCCCTAAAGATATCCATGTCCTAATCATCAGAAACTGTGAATGCTACCTTATATGGTAAAATGGGCTTTGCAGATGTGATTAAGCTGAAGATCGTGAGATGAGAAGATTATCCTGGACCCTAAATATCAACACAATGATCCTTATAAAAGGGAGGCAAGAGGATAAAAGGAAGATGTAGATGTGACAAATGAAGCCAGGGATTGAGTCAAAATCCGAGGAATGCAGGTGGCCTCCAGATGCTAGCAATTGCAAGGGAAGAGATTCTCCCCTAACCTCACCAAAGGGGACTAGCTCTGCCAACAGCTTGACCTGAGCCTAGTGAAATCTAGGCTCCCAGAACCATAGTAGAATAAATTTCTTATTGTTTTTTAAGCCACTACACCTGTAGGAATTTGTTACAGCTGCCGCAGAGGACTCACACAGATGGATCAGCAGAAGGTGTATTGGACGTTAGGTCACACTGGGTCATCTCACTCCCACCACGAGCACACTGAATATGTTCCCTGTCTAGCCAGACTGCCCCTTCACAATTACTCAGCCTTACAAAAAGCCAATAACCAACACAAGCATTAAGAAATACATTTACATTATGACAAGATGGTGCAACTGGGTCACATTTTTTGGTTCCCTATATGCTCTCATAAATATCAGAGAAAAATTGAGCAATAGAAAAAGAGGCAGAGAAACAGTCCCAGTTCCTGCTCCAAGGCAGCAGTCTGTGGAAAGGCAGTCAGAAAAGCCAGAGTCTGGGTTGATTGCCTGAGAGGAAAATGTTACTGGGTGAGTGGTTCTGTTGGACACAGAAATTCTGTTCAGTAGTGAGACTTAGGAAAATGCTTGAGAAACCCTTTATGTGCTCTTCCTCCCCAGCTCTGCTGAGAATGCACATAGCAGCACAGGTGGGCATGGAAGTCTGGGCAGTGAATGGGAGAAAGGGAACTGCAGGACAAGAAGCCAAGGGGTCAGCTCTCCCCAGCCAGAACACGTCCCTGCTTTTCCAATGAGAAGAATCGTCACAAGCAGCTCCAAAGAGAGACTTAGCACTGCCCTCAAAAATCCTACAATCTTGCCACAAATGAAAAGTAGGAGCAAGGATTCATCTGTAAGGCTGCAGCTCATTGTATGTAGAGAAGACTAGACTAGTCAGCTAGGAGTCTAAACTTTAGCTCCCCCATGCAATAACCTAGTTAGACTCCTTGCTTAATGCAAGCCAAGAAGGACCTACCCTTCATACACTGGAAAATACCACAGTGGCCTCCTTAGCCTCTAGGAATATCATTGTTAGGGGGACTATAGTATTTATCATGCAAACCAGTATACTTTTGAGGGGGGTGGGGCATGCTCCTAATCATTATCTCAGACCATACATATACAATGGAACTCTGGCTGAGCAAACTGAAAGATGTGGTCCTCCTGCTCATAGAAAATGCATGCATGTTCAGTTACTCATATGGGATAGTCTAAGATTCTTCTAATAATGTGGTCCTGTGCACTGAGCAATAGTATTTCTCTGTCTTGTTTTCTGTCTGTCTTAATTCCCTTGCTGGCTGATTTCAGATTATCTATGTGGCTAGAAATGCAAAGGACTGTCTGGTATCCTACTACCATTTCTCAAGAATGTCTAAACTGGTACCTGACCCTGGTACATGGGAGGAGTATATTGAGGCATTCAAAGCTGGAAAATGTGAGTAAAAGGAAATTATGGGTTCATGTTTCCTCATTTATTCTTCACATTTCCTTGTTCACCACTGACATCAGAAAGGAAGGTTTTCGTTGAATGATCATGGTCATCAAGGTCATGGGAGGATGTGGATGGCACATTCAAACTGGATCATTTGGGGAGAATTTAGCTAAGAGACTCTTTAGAAAGCTATGGGCAGAGTTTAAGGAAATGAGCAAGTGACAGTGCAGCATTCTGTGGTGAGCACCAACAGGGAGCCATTGCGTCCTGAGAAAGGACAGAGTCCCTTAACAGTAGCTGAGGCCTTCAATAGGGGAGAGTCCACCACTCTCCCCTAGTGAGCCAATAGGAAGGGCATCAGGGATATAAACACACCCTTCTCACTCCTGCCTCCAAAAGCCTCTCAGTGCCTTCTACTGGCAAATCCCAGGTGGAAGCCTGAGCACAAAAGAGCCCATTGACAGGCACTGAGGGGGACACTTGGCAGGATGAGCACTGGGTATTATGCTATATGTTGGCAAATTGAACTCCAATAAAAAAAAAAAAGAGCCCATTGACATAGTCCCTAGAGGTCAACCTCACGGGGTGGAAGAAGGTGAAGGGCCAACAAAAGATACCCAGTGCACCTCTCTTCCTCCTGGTCACCATTATAGAGAGTAAAGATGTCCAAATATCTGGTAATTATAGATTTTTCAGAATGAAAATCTGCCCACAAGGAGACAGTATTGCATAACACTAACCTAGACACAACGCAGTGATACCGGGGAAAGAAAACTCATGAGCCCTGGCCACTACACACTATCTCATGTGGTAGTACATTCAAGGGCAGAAATATAAACCAAGGAATCCAGGATACTTTTTATCATCTCCTTAAATATTAAAAAGTCCTTGTCTTCTGCAAATAGGACTTCTGGCCAGGGTCTGTGTCTTCTTTGTCCCTTTTACTTGAGATATCCATGCTCATTTTGTAAGTTTCAAGTTGATATTGATTCCGCCTTTCTCCTTGTTCCCTCCAGTGCTGTGGGGTTCCTGGTATGACCACGTAAAGGGATGGTGGAATGCGAAAGATCAGCATCCTATTCTCTACCTCTTCTATGAGGACATAAAGGAGGTGAAGTGCAGCACATTCTCCGTTAGACCCACTATGTTCTCCAGTGAAGCAAACCACATATGGGACCCTGATGTGTGGACTTGCCCATAGAAGAACCTTCAGTGCAAGTCCTTTCTCTCCATGACACTCTTCCCAACTCAGTTTTATACTCAAAAGTTCTAACTACTTTTCTGCTCTTCTCAATCTTCTTTGCTTCAGTTCACAACTTCCAGAAGATCCTTCTTCCTCAGGAAATGTCACATGCCTTTATAGTCTAATGAATCCTGACACTCATGAACCACGTGTCTTCACCTGTGAAATGGGTATCATCTCATTTTGTATCTTACAAAATACTATAAGGATTTATGAGATCACATTCGTAAAGTGCCTAGTTGTGTTCAGTGAATACTCAGGGAGAGTTTCCTTCTCCCCATTCCACACCCCAGACCCACATCACAAATGAAGTTTAATGCATATAAATGTTGGCAGGATTGGTCCCGCATATTGGAACAGAGGACAGATTTCTCCTTTTCTTTTTAAAGATTTTATTTATTTATTCATGAGAGACACAGAGAGAGAGAGGCAGGGACACAGGCAGGGGGAGAAGCAGGCTCCACGCAGGGAGCCCGACATGGCACTGGATCCCGGGTCTCCAGGATCACACCCCGAGCTGTAGGCAGCGCTAAACCACTGAGCCACCCGGGCTGACCGATTTCTCCTTTTCAAGTCATTGTATGAGAAGCATGACAAATTCACTCTCATAACCCCGGCGAATAGTGTCCTATAATTATAAACTACTTATGATGCCAATGCCGAGGAATCTAATCAAAAGTGTAACTCCTTGAGGCACGTGGGTGGCTCAGTCAGTTGAGTGTTCAACTTTTGGTTTCAGCTCAGGTCATAATCTCATGGGTCATGGAATTGAGCCCCATGTCTAGTTCCACACTCAGTGGGTCGACTGCTTGAGGATTCTCCCCCTCTGTCCTTCCCCCTGCTCTCTCGCTCACTCTTGCTCTCTCTCTCTCTCAAATGAGTAAATAAATCTTAAAAAAAAAGAAAAAGAAAAAGAAAAAAGAAAAAAAAACTATAGCTCCTTTTCTGCAACTCTTTCAACAGAAAGAACCAGTACATAAGAATTTGCATTTCTGGGTCAACCTAAGATCTTTGTATTCATCCCCTTACTAGCCTCCTACCAAACTCACATGCTCTTTTGCCATCTTTTGTAGCTCAAATACGAGAGTGTCATACCGTACTTCACCAGCAACATTTTTCCGTCCTTTATACAACCTTTCCTGATCTCTACCAGGAGTCATAATTGTTCTTTTTTTTTTTTTTCTTTTTTTTTTACAATTGTTCTTTTCAACAAATCTCATGGCACTCTCTGTGTGCAAGCAGCACGTTTTCTGGGCGAGGTTTTGCTGTTAGTTATGCTTATATCCATCTCCCTGTTGCAGGGTGAGCCTCCTAAGGGAAGGAATGGCTTTCAACTTTGTGTCATGGCAGTACCTGGGATGGTATAGTGCCTTGCACATAGTCATCACCTGAGGGATAGTTGTTGAATATATTTGAACTGATTCCTTAATTCATTCCTCTCAAATACTATTGGTCCAAACAGAATATCCTGAAAATCCAAAATTATTTGCTTTGTATAACTGATCTGCATACAGGATCCAAAGCGGGAAATTCAGAAGATTTTGAAGTTCCTGGAGAAAGAAATGCCAGAGGAAATTCTGAATAAAATCATCTATCACACCTCCTTTGATATAATGAAGCAAAATCCGATGGCCAACTATACCACTTTGCCTACCACCCTCATGGACCAATCTATTTCCCCTTTTATGAGAAAAGGTAAGATTTATATTCTCAAATGCCAGCTTGGACTCTGTAGTACCCATGATCTGCTTAGATTTTTCAGTAATGTCTCATGCTTCATTATTCATTCCTTTCAATGACACTACTGCATAATTTTTCAGAGGCAAACTTCCTTTTTTCCCCCCATTCTTGTGCTGGCTCCAAGGATGTGTGCTCCCTCTTCCCTGTACCCTTCTGGCAACTCCTGAGACTTTGCCTTGTTTTAGGGATGCCTGGGGACTGGAAGAACCATTTCACTGTGGCCCAGAATGAAGAATTTGACAAGGACTACCAGGAGAAGATGGCAGGGACTACCCTGACCTTCCGCACAGAGATCTGAGAACAACAGGGGAATCCATCAGTCACGACCTCCTTCCTAGATTTTAGACATTTGAGCCTCATAATCAAGAATACTTAAAACTACCATACCTGTCCTCCAATCCTGAGCTTTCCTACACTATCCATAGATTCTATGCCACTATAATATACTTCATCCAAATGTAATCAGATCCTGGGTAGATGTTTGATGAAATCAAAATCTAGGTAGAAATTTAAAATTATATTATGTGATCATTTGCATAGACACCTCTCTATTGTGTTGCACTAACCTGGGTACCATACAGCGATGCAGAGTAAAGAAAGATTATGATCCCTGGCTGCTACACTCTGTCTCATGTGGTAGTAAATTCAAGGGCAGAATTATAAAACAAGGAATCCAGAGTACTTTTTATCATCTCCCTAAATATTTAAAAGCCCCTGTCTTCTGCAAATAGGACTTCTGGCCAGGGGTCATTGTCTTCTTTGCCTCGGTCTTTTACTTGAGACATCCATGCTCATTTTGTAAGTTTCAAGTTGATAGTGATTCCACCCTATCTCTCTTGTTCCCTCCGGTGCTGTGAGGTTCCTGGTATGACCATGTGAAGGGATGGTGGGATGCAAAAGACACATGGCATAATCTCATCACTAGCTCACAATAGCCTGACTGCCCAGATGCAGAACTCATGAAAAGAGAGAAATAAAAGTGGAACTTCAACCTAAGAGAAAGAAAGTGAATGAGAAACAGGAAGAGAAGTGAACACTATGAAGAATGTATAGGGAGAACCAGAGTTTATCCCTAACCATCAAGAATGAGACACAGAGGATGACCCAGCTCTTGGAAGTACTAGGTTATGAGGCACAGATGGTGCTAGTGAGCTGTGCTTGATTCAGGTAGTCTCAAGTTGGATATAGTCTCAATACCAAAGAGAAAAGCGAGAGTGCATGAGTGATGAAAAGCGCAGGACAAACAAGAAACAGTTTACTTCTGAGGCTAACTCAAGGCTGGAAGACAGAAAACAACTTATATTTCAGATGGGCTTCTTAGAGACAAAGGGGACAAGTCCTTAAATTGGCCTCCCGTCCCCCAAATCAAATAAAATACAAGCACCACATGCACTTTAATAAAATCTTAACTACCACATCTCTGGAAGGATCACATTTCATGCTTCTTAAAAAGAGGCTCCTAGCAAAATTGTCAGGACCACCAAATTATTCAGGCACACATATAATCATATTCTGCTTCTTTTTCTTTTTCTTTTTCTTTCATTAAAACCAGTCTCAAGGGGCACCTGGGTGGCTCAGTAGGTTGAGCAGCCGCCTTAGGCTCAGGTCATGATCTCATGCTCCTGGGGTCAAGACCCATATCTGGCTGCTCAGCAGGGATTTTGCTTTTCCCTCTCACTCTCCCTCCATTCTCTCTCTCAAATAAATAAAAAGCAAATGAAAGTTTAAAATAATAAAACTTGTCTCAAGGAAGTGTGTGGAGTCATTTACACAAGTAGTGCAAAGATCAGCGTGTTATTTTAAAAGAATGGTGGGGGATCCCTGGGTGGCGCAGCGGTTTGGAGCCTGCCTTTGGCCCAGGGCGCGATCCTGGAGACCCAGGATCGAATCCCACGTCGGGCTCCCGGTGCATGGAGCCTGCTTCTCCCTCTGCCTGTGTCTCTGCCTCTCTCTCTCTCTCTCTCTCTCTCTGTGACTATCATAAATAAATAAAAAATAAAAAAATAAAAAAAAAGAATGGTGGGAAGGTGCAGCTTGTGCGAGTGGGTGCACCACTTAATCATAAGATACAGGAAAGTAGCAAGTCCACCCAAGAACAAAGAAGGCCATTTGCATTCTTCCACCATTCTGCTTTCTAAGATAAGCACGAAAATCATGAACCACGTGACAATCCCATGCAGTATCCGCGCAGAGTGTTGAGGTGCTCTGAGGAAAGACTTGAAGTGAACCATGCGGATACACCTAAAATAAGTTTTATTCTAATTACTATCACGCGTTTACACATACACACTCCTCTGTATACCACAGCCGTGCAAGATCACACGTTGTAAATGTTCGTGGCTAAGGGACTTTAAAGCCATGCCCTTGGAGAGCACACAGCATTGGGAAACAGGACTGGATTTGGAACCCCGAAGCTTCAGAGCGAGAATCCAAGGATCAGTTCACAGCGTCAATGACCTCACCTGGGATGAGGCCCAGCCTCCACAGGCCGCCCCAGCCCGGCCAGCCCAGCCGCGCCGCAGCCCGCTCCCGGGACCTGGAGGCTCCGGCCCTGCACGGGCGGCGGGGCTGGGCTGTCTGCAGGGCGCAAGGCGGACTCCCCGGTCTCCGGTCCGTCCCTGCGACAAGCGGTGATGCGAGCGCTGAAGGCAGAGCGGCTGGCAGCTGCCTGGGGCTCCCCTGGCCCCCCACATCTGATGACCGACAGGGCCAGGGGAGGGCTGCCAAACTGGGTAAAGTCCTTTAGAAAGGGAAGGACTGGGGCCCTCGGGACCGAACCGAGGCGGTCCACTGCCCCGGGCGGAAGCGGGCAGCGCAAGGGCCGCCCCGACCTCCGGACTGGCCTGGCCCTGGGCCGCGTAACCGGCCGCACCTGTCCGTGGCGCGCCTTAGCTCCCGTCCTGCTCGCGTGCTGGGTGGGAGGCGAAGTTCAATCAGGCGGTCACTGAATTCGGAATCCCGGACCCGCTTTCTAGCTTCGCTGTGTGATTCGCCCACTGCCTGGCCTCGGGGACAGGCCCTCGCTCGCCATCCTGCATCTACACACCTGCTGTCCCTTCCGCATCTCATTGGTGATACACCTGTGCAGGTTCACCAGGATAAACTCAAGTTCCTCCAAGCCAAAATCTGATGACCAGCTTTCTTCTGAGAGGTTGACTCTTTTTTTTTTTTTAATTCATGAGAGACACAGAGAGAGACAGAGAGAGAGGCAGAGACACAGGCAGAGGGAGAAGCAGGCTCCATGCAGGAAGCCCGACGTGGGACTGGATCCCGGGTCTCCAGGATCAGGCCCTGGGCTGAAGGTGGCGCTAAATCACTCAGCCACCTGGGCTGCCCTTGAGAGGTTTACTCTTAAGTGGAAAACAACCCATCCCCTTATTGTCAGTGCCCTCCTCCTCCCTTCCCTCTGGGTTGTTGGTCTTGGGTCATGGGGGTTGAAAAACTATGGCCATTGAGTCAAATTCATATTCGTCTTGTGTGCCCGGGAGCTGAGAGGGCTTTCCTAATTTAAAAAGGTTGTGGGGATCCCTGGGTGGTGCAGCAGTTTGGCGCCTGCCTTTGGCCCAGGGCGCGATCCTGGAGACCCAGGATCGAGTCCCACGTCGGGCTCCCGGTGCATGGAGCCTGCTTCTCCCTCTGCCTGTGTCTCTGCCTGTGTGTGTGTGTGTGTGTGTGTGTGTGTGTGTGTGTGTGTGTGACTATCATAAATAAATAAAAATTTAAAAGGTTGTGGCAAAAACATCAACAAAGAAGAAGGGACCTACAAAGAAAGCCTGAAATATCATCGACTACAGAGTCTCTGACCTGAGTTTCTGTGTCTGCATCAGCTGAGCCAGGACCTTGTGTGAAAGAATCTGGAAGTATCCTGAAGAGCCATATTTGTGAAGACTCAGGCTCCTATATTTGGAACTTGAGCTTCTCCTTCAACCACCCAAAGAACAGGAAGAGGCACCTCCACCAATAGGAGTGTGTGCACCCAGGGTGGGGGCCTACCTCCATTTGAGACTTGTGAGGGTAGTACTTCCAGCCATGTAAGTCCAAGGAGGGCTCAGGTCAGTAGGGATCCCGATCCTGAGGTGGGGTCTGCTCTGCCAACCCTATCTGGATGTCCCTCTGAGAAGCAGTACACATGTTGCAGGTTCTAGAAGCAGGCAGATGGGCAGAGCCAGGGCCCGTGGTGGGCATGGACCAGGCTAGCAGGGATTCTAAAGTACAGGGTACAGATTTCAGGCAGTAGCAGGAATAGAGTCCCCAGCCAGAAGAGTGACTAATGGATAGCTCTCCATGCATTAGGTCACCCCAATGAACCCCTGCATTATCAGGGTCTTGTGGCTAACCAGTTCCCCAGGAGTAGCCATGGGGGGGGGGGGAGTCACGTTCAAGTCCAAAGTTTAGCAGAAAAAGCTGGACCTGACTGGCTAGGGTTTAAGTCCACACCATGCTCAAAACTCCACAGTCCATCATGGCCTTAGCGAGGAGGCCACTAGCTCCTTCGTGAGCTCCAGGAAGGTGGAGAACATCCCTGACCACCACCAGGATCAGCAATGTGAAGCAGGGAAGAATGGGGATAAGCAGAAAGGTGGGCTGGACAAGCTCCCCATACGAGGTTCTGTGCACAGGGTTGGCTGTGACACCCAACAGTAAGCTCATGTGTCCTTCCCAGCACCCTGTGCTCTGAGCCCAGGACACCAGCACAAAACATGTCCCAACACTGCCCCCTCAGGTCCCAGGAAGATGGGTGGTCAGGTTACCACCTTGCTTCCAGAAGCAGCAGAAAGCTGCAATTTCCTGCTACAATTGACCACAGGTTGCCTTGCAAGGCAGAGCATTCTCAGGGCTCTCCAGAAGCCTGTGGTATCCCCTGTTTATGGTTGGTTTCCAAAAGCAGACCCTGGAATGAGGATTCCTGTGCGAGTAACTTATTTCAAAAGTGTTTCTAGGAGAGGATCATCAGAGAGTGGGGAAGGAAGATGGGGAGGGAGTCTGCACAGTCCCAGCCTCATTCTCAGGGGCTCCAGGAGAGCCCCTCCTAGAGGCAGGGCAGGGAGCTGGGCTTTCATTTCTTACCCTCAGTCCTTCCCTGTGGCTGCCCTGAGATATGTCAGCTCCCAGATTCCTGTGTTCTCAGAGCTTCTGGGCAAAGCCACCCCAGTGCCCAAGGGTAGACTTCCTTCTCTGAAGCAGGCCCAGGCCTATAGGAAGGACACACACAGCTGGAGCCTGAGGCAGAGGCTGGTGGTGCCAGTCCAAGGGAATCTGGGCAGGGCACCAGGAGCACTGCTCCATTTCCAGAGAACTTCAGTGAAGAGGAGCCCACCACTGGGGCAGTGTCACCAAGAACCTTGAGCTCTACATAATTGGAACACTTCATTCTGAAGCTGGGAACTGGGTAGTCGGGGGCGGGGGGGGGACACAGGGTGAGGACAGAGGCTGATAAGTGTGAGGAAGGATAGCAGTGGCAGTACATGTGGGATTGGTGTGCCAGCTCAGTGTTATGAACCCTGCCTTGGCCTTTGCCACCCAAGCTGGCAGTGTCTTCAACTGCAGGTGAAAGTCCCTCTTCTTTTTCCCCCACATGCTGCTCCCTGACACATTATGTGTGGCCACTCAGGTGGGAACCTCCTGGAACCTGAGCACACACCCTAGTCCCCTTCCATGGAGCAGAGGGTAGGGGGTCCCGGGAGATACTATACAAGTCCTACTGTGATCAGGGGGACAGAGTCAAGAGTTAAGTCTGAAATGGGGGACTGAGACAAGGCTGCCAGAGAAGATGACCTGGAGGGACATGGAGAGGGGACGGGAGGGGTAGGGAAAGTGAGCAGTAGAAAGGATTTGTCTGATGATGGCAAAATTCCTAAATGGATGAGCACCACCTAAACTAAAGGGACAAAACACCGCTTTAGTTTCTGGACATATTAAAGACTTATTAAATGCTTAATAAGTACTTAATAATAATACTTAATTTCTGAGAGAAATAATACTTAATTTCTGAGAGAAAGCTGAAAATTTTTAAACTTTTCTACTTTCCCACTTATACATTGAATTTTATAATGAAACCTCTTATTGAGATACATACATACATAGATGGTAGATAGAGTTACAGAGAAAAAAATTGAAACTGTTTTAAAGTGTATTTGATTGCATGAGCATTTGTTAATGTCTGCATGCTCGAGATTTCACAATAGGGTTTGCCTGGCACATCAACCCCAGCAAGATGTTCCCGTCTCCCAAAGATTTTCCTTTACAAACAGCCTTCAGGCTGGTGTGCAGTTATGTCAAAGAGGGTCTAAAACTGAAAAAAAAAAATACTTTGAAATCATAAAGCAATCTGCCCACAAGGCTTCATACAGCGAGCCTATTGAGGTGATAAAAGACCTTGGATTTCAGCTTTGTTTCCAAAATAGTGTCATAAATGTTGGCAATCGACAGAAGTGGAAGTCCTCCATTTCTCAGGCACCTGACTCATGTTTCTCGCTCACACTTAAGAGAGCATGCTTACACATTAGTCTGTCAACTAAACCCTGTACAAATATTTCCTTTTTTTATTTTATTTATTTATTCATGAGAGACACACAGAGAGAGAGGCGGAGACACAGGCAGAGGGAGAAGCAGGCTCCATGCAGGGAGCCCGACGTGGGACTCGATCCCGGGTCTCCAGGATCACGCCCTGGGCTGAAGGTGGCGCTAAACCGCTGAGCCCCCCAAATATTTATTAGGAGCTGAGATTCATCA